CGACACGGACACACAACACGGATGGAGGGACACGACGACAGACAGACACGACACACCAACAACTCCTATAAAGCCTATGCGCCCCTCAAGATCTGTTAAATTTTGTTTGTTGCCCTACAAAAAGTTTGTCACCTCAAGGGCTGAGTTTATGTTCACAAAACCTATCAACATCAACAGCTGCTTTATCACATACAAAATAAAGTTACAACACACATCTTAACATGCAGCCTTCTCCAGACTAAAGTGAGCAAATGATACCAACGCAAGATTGACAACCTTGGTTTATGATGTAGTGCTACTGGGACAAATTCTGCCCTCAGTTATTCCACTCTACATCCACAGTCATTTCATTTAACTGACCTTAGCCAAGGAGAGGCCAATTAACTGAAATTAGTTGGACTTCTTCCAGTTTAAATGAAAGCAGAATCTTTTCATTTGCAATTGAATTATGTTCAAATAATTGAAAAAAAACAACCCCTATAAATGAGTAACAGTTCCTATCGCCAGGTTGGCTGTTCTGTTTAAAGTAACAAAATGAGTTTTACTTCAGCAATCTACTGTTGAACAGCTGTTTCCCATTACAGGGATGTTGTCATGGCTAATAGGCAAACATTTTTCTCCTCGTACCTCAACAAAACTATTTTCTATTTCAAACCTTTTCTTGAGATTTAAATAATATACCAAATCAACATGCTATCAGTTCTGCCAAAGAAATCCACATACTTCCACATCACAACCACTGAACTGAAGATGAAGCAATCCTTCCCAGCATACAAGTCATCATGACTACAGGCCAGTATATCCAATTTCCTACCTACAGGTGTACATACTTCCAAGTACGTTTGGTGGTAGACATATGCTGTAAGAGTTCAGAAGATTAAGTACATACAAGCGTCTGAAATATATTAGAGTGAGTCCTTGGCTTAACTAAAAGTCTTCCCTACTTTTAGTACTTGGAAAAAATAATCTTTTTTAAAAGATTTCTACATCTGACTCATTTGCCCTAATGGCAATACACCAAATTGCAATAGGGAAGATACAGATTTGACAGCCTAGGTCATCTCTCAATTAACTCTGCTAGATGCACTCCGATCCATTCAACCTCATTTGGAAGGGCAACAAATGCAATACAGAAATTTGCTAGAATATAATGTAAGTTTGTAACTTCAAAGAGTTCTGAAAGTATTCCCCCCCATCTCCTCCACAAAAAAAACCCCGAACAGCTATGAGCTCTTCTCTGACTTCAAACTACGTACTTCAGTAAAATTATATTGTCATTATGACACAAATTAAGAGGATATCTTTAACAGCAATTTCAGCAAAACTAACTACCATCAACATTAATGACAGTTACCCACACGTCCAAGTGAATTAATGTGTTAGCTGTGATGCTGTAAGAGATGCTGTAAAACAATCCCCTTGATTCAGAAAACGCAAGGAACAGATAGTAAAAACTAAACTGCATCAAAGGATACTTCCATTCTACTAGACTAATGCAGGCTCTTCGTATTGGGTTGTTGAGGGATAAACAAAAAAGGGCACGGGGTGGCCGACTATTAGACGTATTACCCTGTTTTTTGCTCTTGGCATATTGCTGACGTTTTCTTTGGGACAGAGATCCTACAGGCTGGGCTGTGGTGGTACTCATATTTTGGGCAGCCTTCGCTTGTCTAGCAGCATCAATTGCAGCTTGCCAAGATAGAACAGTCTGCTTGGATGGTGCTGAACTGTTTGACTGAAAAGCTGGTCCGTCACCAGGGAGAGGAATCCTGGTGCTACTTGCATAGTTCACCTCTGCGGGACAAAAAAAGAAAGTACTTGGTTACAATTTTTTATGCTAAAATGTGTCACAATATTTCTGACAAAAAGATTATTTTAAGACCTCCTGGCAGTGTGATGGTTCCATCGCATATACTACAAAGCACAACTGCATGCGTATATATGCAACTGAACAGTAATAAAAAATGCTCAGGAATCAGTATTATAACTTCAACTTTAATCCAAGCGTCAAGACAAGTGCTATACAAACACTTCATGTTTTGATTCTTCCACTTACTGTGTTTTTTCCTAACTGGATGGCAGCCTTTCTGTCACCATATTTACCCAATAAAACATAGCTACTCCGTAAGATCAGCTTTGCTGCAGAACCTTAGCATTCACTATTTTCTCGCTTCCCTTTGGTCAAAAAAGTTGTTGTTTAAAAGGCACACACATTGTTCAATTAAGAATAGCCAACACAGAGGAGCAAGAAGTCCTGTTAGTAAGTTAAATCTTGCCTTAATCTGCACTTTCAAAGAAAAATGCCTGGATGCCTCCCACAAGTGAAAAACCCAATATCGTCTGCTGATAAACGTGCCACGAAGCATTGGTATCTTTCACCCTAGAAATTACAAAAACCACTGGAAAGGGATGGGGTTTGGTTTTGCTTTTTCACAAGGATTTACAAAATAAACTGCATCTTCCAAACACTAATAACGTCCTCTTTATCCAGATCACAGCACAGGCAGCAAAACACCACCTCCTCGCAAGGATCTTCCCTCGCGAGCTCTCTGAGTAGAGCGAAGTCTAGTCCTACGTGCACCTGTAGGAAGGAGAGACTCCTGAGTGAGATTCAAAACTTGAAGATGCCTGGGTGGTGGAAAATAAAAAAAAAAAAAAAGAAAAAAAAGAGCACAATATTGGTGCTGGGAGTAAGGGCTGGCAGGCGGGATGGCTGTGAAACGGGTATACCCAGGCAGGAGAGGAAAACAGCTCCGCAGCGATCGCAGCTCGTCAGACAGAGAGCCACGGAAAGCACAGCCCTCCTTTTCCAGACGGGGGGGAGGAATAAACAACGAGAAAGACGCGAGAGCCGCGAACATGCGTGGATGCGGA